TAAATAGAATCAAGCTAGCCCGATGCCACATTTGGTCTTTTTGCCGGCTTGTAGACTAAATCATACATCGATATAAACTGCCTATGCACACGTGGCAAACGCGAAAATCATTTCTCTCCACACGTTTTGATGTAGCCTTTTGGAATCCTCATGTCCGTGGCACTTCAGTTGGCATCCTCACACTCTTTTGCAGATGCCAGTAGGCCCTCCTTTATTGCACTGTTAAAGATTAGAGCAGGTGGTGAATTCATCCATTGGGAATGCAATTTGTGTAGCTCGTCTCTCTTGAAAAGCATTACACATAATTTCAGCAAGTTGGTACAGTAATTTAACCAGTAGCTTTAGACTGACTTCACATCACATTATTCCTCTTCCCAAATCAGGCTTTTAGTTTCTCCATGGAGCACTCCAGTGGAGTAGAGCCTTTTCTCTTCAAGACCAGGCTTCATAGTTCCATTCTCCTGCACTCCCACCCTTTCCTTCAGTCAGATGCTCACAAAAGGGGGCTGTCGGCGGCACTGGAAAAACCACAATGCACACTGCTTTTTCTGTAATTACTGTAACAGTCACTTACCTTTTTTCTGTTCATTTCCTTCATCGTGGTTAGTGGCATTTTTTTAACTAAATGTAAAAGCCGTAGAAAATGTATTTGCCTTGACAAAGCTGAACTTGATTAACAAAGGCATCTTGGCATAACCAGGTTTTTTTATGACGGCCGTATTCAGTTGAAGTGCACAGAGGCATAGTGTTCTTCCAAGTGTAAAAGGTAGACTTGGGCTATTATAAGATTAAGAAATAAAAGACTTGCCATGGTGGGGTGGGGGAAGCAACAAACAAAATAGACATTATTATGAGAGTTAAACTGGTTGGAAAATTCATTGCATAGACTTACCTTTCAGGCTAGATTTAATCATTGTGAATGCCACTGGTTTTGGAATGCTTGTGTTGTGGTTCGAGGCAGAGTACATCCATACACAGACACTTTGAACCATATGGCCTTGTCTGTTGTGTACATGTTAAAAAGGATTTAAATATTTGCTCTAGTATGGCATTACTGTTCTAGGTTAAAAAAAAACCTGACTTTCCTCTTGGTTACATTTTCAATTCGATAGTGGTTAACAACATAAAGTGTCACTCGTACGCCTCCTGGTTAAAACGTGAAATCTGTGCTCCTCATTTCTCTGAAACTGCCATAGGGGCTGTTGTTTTTAATGGTACACATCCGTGAAGCCAAATTCCCTTTTTTCTGCAAAATCGGTTGTTTCACCTGTCCCGACGATGCCTTCTTCATGAGACACATTCCACAACACCTTGGGTCCAAAATATCTCCTGATGTGATTATCCTCCCCAGAGCTCAACACCCTACAGCCACTGTTTCTGTCATGTGGCTTAAATTTAGAAAGTGTATTTAAAAAACATTGCTTAGGTTGCATCGAAAAAACAATAGTCGCTGTGCTCCTACAAGTTGTAGAGAAAAAATGAGTTTTTTTTTTTTACTTTATTAAGCTGTGCAAATAACTGATTTTTATTAAATGTTTCAAATATTTCAGAAACAACATATTGAGAGTGTTTTTGTGTTCAGGGCAAAGGGTTGCTGGGATTGCAAAGAAAAATACGTTATAATGGATCATTTCAAGGGATGGTATCTGCTGCTAGTAGGGTGCTGTGATGATGGTTTAAATCAAACACCCGATTCTTTTTAATGACAAACAGCCTTGTAGCAGTGAGTTTGATTCAGCAACCTCGTGATGGTTCAAATTAGATTTTGTTTTGAAGCAACACTTTGTCAGGTTTGCTTTTCTGTCGTTTTCTGTTCCAGTTTCTGTCCTTTTATCTGATCTGTTTGGCATTTCTCACAGATTACAAAGCAGCGTTTGGGAATGGCAGTGCCAGATCCGGCTGCTGTGGTCATCTTGATTTTTAATGTCCATGGTCTCATTGCCCTTGTGTGATTCTCCCATCCTTATGGTCTTAGTGGGGGGGGGGGACACTTGGGCTAATTTTACCGCAAGCTGCAATTTCTTTAAGACGTGTGCTTGTCTTAAAACACCTGGTACCAGGAGTGTTTTTGAAACACTTCAATAAGCTGCAGCAGTCGGATGCTGCTGCTACTGGAAACCTGCTTAGAATTCAAAATATGTTTGAGTAAAAGATTTTGACCACCGATTTCCTTTTGTTGGGTTTTTCCACTTTTCAATGGCATAATGCGGGTTTCGGCGTGTAAACATCGCACTTGAAGGGCAGTGCCTTGATCGTTTGGCAGATTTTGTGCAAATGATGATTAATAGTTGCTCTGTCTTCAAAGGGCGCGTTTATATAGCTTAGCTATCATGTAATATACACTTTCATATCCATCCAGATAGGATTTGTTCTAAAGCCTACATGGATAGGCATAAGAAACACTGCAAAATGCTCTTGGCACTTATTTGCTGCATTTTTAATGTCTTTCAGGATATTTTTCCAGATCCATTGACTGCGAGTCCTTTTAAAGGACAATAATGAGGATTTGACAGAATATTGTAAAGTTTTTACTTGACTGAAAAAATGAAAAAAAAGGCCTAGACACCATCTCAAGAGGAACAGCCATAATCTGCCAATGATGCCCCCTCATCTTGATCTTGCTGCAGTATTCTTATGTTATCTCTAGGCATCCTGCAGGCATATTTTGACTAAACAGGATGTGGTAGTGGAGCAGGAGACGTTAGCTGAAAAAATGCATTTTAGCTGTGAAGGAACAGGGCTTGACTGTCGGGTTTCAGACAGCCGAGTGTATTCGTTGTTGTGCTGGAGCTGCTCTCCGGTGCCCTTGCCTGTCGGCTCATCTGGAGAGCTGAGCTGGGAGAGAGAGTCATTTAAACATTAAGGGGGAAGATTGCCAAGGCAGCACTCTACTGAAGAACACTCCGATTTGGCCTTAACTGCCCTGTGTCTAAACGTCTGAGACGATGCCTTCTGATGACTGATCTTTTTGCTTCCCTGAGCTCCGAAAGGGCTGTGTTTTCTTAGGTGTGTTGGAATGCGCCGGTTACGTTTTATTCTAAAGGTTAGCTCGTATGCCAAGGGTGCCCAGAAATCAAGGACCTAGGAGTAAGGTTCCTGCAGGAATGTAACAAAGACAGCAGCCTGAAACGCCCTTGGAACTCTCCGCCGATTCGAGTGAGATCTGGCAGCCTTCGTCAGTCGCCGTGCGTCGCCTTTAGTCTGCCCGCCTGCAGTCAAGGAAGAAATGTAAGCTGTTACACCAGGATGAATGTATGTGAAGGTGGCTCTTGTGTAAACCAAGATTGCCTCCAGATTATTTTTCTCTATCGATAACGGCCTGTAACAGTACACAGTTTTATAAACTGAACTCCCAACATCATTCATCTCTCGCGGAAGAGCATGCCTTTAATGTGTGACATTCTGCCTTCCCAGCGCATACCAAGATTTCTGAGTGTGGTTACCCTTTTTTTCCTCTCATCTTTAACTGCCTCTGTCATGACAGCCACAAATCCAGTTGCCTAAAAACTTGTCAGACTTCATGAATCGCCAGCGGTGCTTCGGATTCGCACCTTGCCCGTTGTAGGTCCTGTCAGCTTCTTGGAGAGAAGTGACCTCTTGTGCAGTCTGGTCCAGTTCAAGGACTTTTTGCCTAATTAATACCAGACTTGGTAGAGTGACAAGGCTAAACACATTCAATTTGAAAAATTCAACTATATTCTTATTTTCTCATTCATTTTGCGACGGAAGCATTTCTTTCCAAGTTGTAGTAATTTGTTTTCCCTCTTGGTATACTTGCACAATTTCATTTCCTTAATGCAACCATCTTTCTCAGACTGCAAAACGCTCCCGCGCAAACATGCTTTCAGTTTATAACTTGTTAACTATTTGTGGTTCCCATTAGTTTACTGAAAGTAAGAGTCTAGGGATGCCTTCGAAAAGTGCTTGCGGTCTTTATACAATACATTCATTTTCAAAGTCTTAGTCTTAAGAGGAAATGCCTGTTGATTGTACAGGAGAGGCTGTTATAACGTCTAGCTAGATCACAATGCAATGTAAAAATCCCAAAATCAAGCTTCTCGTAGTTTCTTTGCTCAATATTACAAACCAATAGCTGCCATTCCTTGGTTTAAGGTACTACTTTGAGTTTTATTTGGTGTCCAGACCCTTTCTCTTCTCTTTGACCCAACATGAATCGGCAGAGATGTCATCTGGTTTCAGTGCATAACATCCTCAAGTAATTTTCTGAAAGACATTGATGTGGTCTTATTAATTGAAATGACTGTGTGGGTTGAGAAACTCAAAGTGATTTGTCTTCATTGATGTTTTTTATGCTTTGAATGTTTTAAAGAAAGGAAGTTATTGCAAACTGTATCTAGGCTTAATTTCTAGCTGCAGATCAAGGGGAAGGAGAGGACTGACTTAAGCTAACTTTGGCACTGCTGTATGTAATAGTTAGAGGCCTTCTGTTTAGTTCAAGGTTATAAAGCTGATTTGGTCCTGAATTCGATATTTTCAAGATGTTAATTTTACGTTTCTCACTGACTTCTTTTTCAGGCAGGAAACCTGGAAGCAATGCTTTTTCTGTACAATTACTGTGATAGGGTGAAGCCTTAGATTCTATAAAACTCCATCCCCTTTCTCTGTATTGGTTTGAAAGTTGGTCATGAATGCTACATTCAGAAACCTCCTTGTCTGTAATAAACATGGCTTTGCCGAATGGTGCTTAATATTTAAGTACTTTTAATACATTCTCTGTTTCCTGTGACATTTTCCATAACAGTGTACAGTCTTTTATTCTTCGCCATAACCGTCTTTTTGCCCCCGAAGAAATGTATCAGACCTAGGTCATTTTTGATTGTGCTGTATTTTTCCTGGAAGTCTTCATTGCTCTAGGGTCGGTTTGAAGAGGAGGTGTCTATTCAGAGTTGCTGTGATTTTAGTAACCCAGGGAGTGTTAATGGCCAGACTGGGTCGGCTTTGCCTTGGCATTTGTTTCATTTGCTTTCTGTTTCTTGCAGGTTCAACTACAGATCAACACATCACCTCACAACAAATGGGTTTTATGAGTTCCTGAACTGGTTTGATGAGCGCGCTTGGTACCCCCTTGGCCGGATAGTGGGGGGAACAGTAAGTATAGGCTGTGACCTTTCGCCTGTGAAAGTACCTAACATTCAGCATGCCTGGTAAAGATGCTGAGCTTTTCAGACCATCCTACAGAGCCAGGCGGTCCCCGATATGAATCGATTGATAAATCGAGTAAATGGAAAAAATAGAGCAAAGTGCAAAGTCTAAGAATTAATTGTTCTTCTTGTAGGCAGTGTTATGCATGGCTTAGCTTAGAATATTCATAATCTACTACATCACAGCACTGCATCACCGATCTAAGCAGTGGATCGAGGTGCGATACCTCTTTAACTGCAAGTAAAATACACTAATTTATGGTCCCGAACCCAACTTTATTCTGTCAATTTTTATGGGGAAACACCTCTCAATTTAAGGTGGCAATATTTACACTCTTACAGCCCCAAACCTCCATATTTACATGTTGTTAAGGGGGAAAAATCCCTTTTATACACAGTTCTGCTACACTTCGTGACTTTCTGGTCCCTAACTTTGATGTATAACTGGGGACCACCTGTAATGTGTCGGTTCACAGTTTCTGCCCAATGCAACGAGCTTCTTAATTCTCAAAGTTGACAAAGTGAAACAAAAGGGCAATTATTGTTTCTAAGTCATTAGGAGGTAATGCCAGTATATTTTGTTAAAGAGCGAAAAGGGAAGCACAAGATTTAAATAAAATATCTAAGGAACACGAGATGGACGTATTGAAAGCATAACATAAATCTGACCTGGGAGGCTAATGTCAAAGGTGTGTTTGAAACCTGAAACATGAAAACTGCATTTACCTCACTCATCTGTAAAACATTAGTACTGGAGCCCAAGTCACGGTATTTTACAGAAGTCTCGCTCTCCTACAATAGAGAAAAGCAGTGTTATATGCCTTTTAAGGAAGGTAGTTCTACACAGAAGTAGGCAAATAAAACATTTCATTTTGCAAGACAGAATTTGTCGTAAAAATTACGGTGCTTAATTGCAGTAGCTTTGCTTGGGTCTCTCGACAGCCAGATTCATAAATCTGATGCTTTACTGTAGACAGAAATCATGCAAGTAATGTAGAGGTTTCAGCAGTTGGAAGTTTCCGTGATCCATGCTCAGATTATTGGAAAAACTCAAAAGGGAGTCGAAATTCAGATTTCCGAAAGACGCAATCTGTAAGTGCTTTCCCCCTCCTAATTCAATTACTCCCGCTGAGAGGAAATTCATGACTTCCCTTAGAAGTTTGCATGAGCTGAAATGAAAGAAATGGGGTAGGCTGGTGATGAGGAAGGCAAAATCCACTATCATTGCCTTCCCTACTGAGATGTGAACACTAGAAAAGACTACTTGCAGCCTCCTGCTGCACTGCAGAAGATGCACTGTCAGGCGTTTCTGAGGACTGAAACAGCCCGTGCTGTTCTGAATCCATTCAGTCACATCATCATTCATTAAAGCAGTGTGTAAACTGATCGTGTTGGCAGCAGTATTCCTTACCTTGATGACGATCTCCTTACACACGGCTTGTGGGTCAGGCAAAGAAATAGTGAACGTTCAGGGGGTTATTCTATCTGTGCAACTTCAAACCTCTGTTCCATGCTCTCACTGATTAATTTGGTCAGGATCCTGCGAGCAGTCTGTAGTCATTTTCTGAAAACTGAATGCAAGTACTGTGGCATGAAAGGTGCTGCGTAATATTCTTCAAATTTAAACCCGTTAATGTTTTGTTCCCCCCCCAAATATGTATATCAATCAGGAATCTAACCTGAATGAAGAATGGTTTTAAGAGACTCGACATCTTTAAAAAAATATTTTGAAATTCATCTTTTTAGAGTCGTTCTACAGTGCGGCTCATTTCCTGTTTGTCATCTGGGTTATACTAACTGAGCCTCCACTCAGTATCTTGAGTTTAGTGAATATCTGAGTGGCTTTCTGCTGTGTCTGAATGATTTAAATGATGGTGAGGGAGATGTGGGAGCTCTGTGCTTGTTTGATCCGGTGTTCCTGGTCTCTGCAGGTCTATCCTGGTTTGATGGTCACCGCGGGCCTCATCCATTACGTGTTAAACCTCCTGCACATCACGGTCCACATCCGGGACGTGTGCGTCTTCCTGGCGCCCGTCTTCAGCGGCCTGACCTCCATCTCCACCTTCCTGCTCACCAGAGAGCTCTGGAACCAGGGCGCAGGGCTCCTGGCGGCCTGCTTCATCGCCATCGTCCCAGGCTACATCTCCCGCTCCGTGGCGGGGTCCTTCGACAACGAGGGCATCGCTATTTTTGCGCTCCAGTTCACGTACTACCTTTGGGTGAGTCAGCAGCCCGGTCTCTGCCCTTTTTGTTCTCCCTGCTGCTGGAGGCCAACTTGAAAATGTATTCGTCTGACTTGAAAACACGGGTTGTTCCCACTTAGAGAAAATCTGTAAATGTTTTTTCCTTTGCATGTCCGATTGAGGATAATGGAGGGGAAAAGTACCCGTCAAGCTCTTGAATGTGTTTTTCAGGCGCTTCTCTAAAAGGGGACCTCAGTGCTGCTAGAGAAACGAGTTGCGGTTGACCTGGCGCTCAGATGTTTTAAGACGCAAAGAAGCGCCGGTTTAGCTGGCTTTCTTGTGCAGTTCGTGCTTTATTTGTGCGTGATAAAATCGGAAGCCTCCGGCAGAGAAGTGAAAATCAAATGATCTATTTCGAAGCTGCAAAACTATCGGCCTTTAGAATCAATAGATAACTAGGAGGTACATATCTGCCTCAAGTGTTTCTGCTAGCATCTGTTACACCTGATATGTGGTTGAGAAACAGCAGGGGGCTAGGGATGTAGGAAGGAGGACTGGAATGATCGGCCACTTAAAGCTGTAATCTGTTATTCCCCTTGTTGAGAACACTACAGGCCTTTTATTTTAATTTTGTTAAATACAACAAGATTTTTTTACCGTTTGTACTAGTGACATTTAAGTGAAGCATAGGCCTGGCTCATTCACAAGTTATGATTTTTTTATGTTAAGTACAGCGGTCTCATAATTAGAAAATGTCTGGCACATGTAACTTTAAAGACCCATTTTTATTAATTAATTTCCTCCTTTAATACAAAACCGTGTGATTCAACACCACATAGGGTCCTGTAAGGTTTTACAATGTATTCAGGTTTCGCAGAGTGCGAAATTCTTTAAAGCTTGTCAAAAGTTAATTAAATATGTTGCATTTTTAGTCATTCGAAAGTTCAGTGCTTGCATAGCCTGGCGTTTAAAATGGGGAATTTCAAAATGGATCCAAGGTTTGGATGTTTAGCGTTATGCACTTCCATTTTGTTGAGTGCAAGTTTAAGATATAAAAGGAATCTTGACAATCTTTGAATGTTTGTACCCTATCAGCTTAATTTCTGATTCTGAGGTGGATTTCTTTTGTTAGACATGAGATAAGTAGCTTGATGTGGTGATTGTGTTTTTGCTAACAGAAAAATGACAGTCGGTTCCAGCTGAGTCCAGAGATTTGCTCAGCTGGAGAACATTAAAAGGGATTTTAGTGTTTTTTATTTGTTTTCAATTTTCAAAAGAGCCTTAAGCTCCTGTGAATTGTAATTAAACCGGTATTTAAGAACCTTGTGAAACCAGAAATGTCTTAAGTCGTCTTTAGTGGAAATCTGCAGTGTTGCTTTGAGCGGAGCTTCAGCTGTCAGTGCAGACTGATTTAAAGCTTTTGTCTCTAATTGGGGCCTTCCCCAGTGCGAAGAACGTTTTAAAAACTTCCCAAAGAGCATAATATTGACTATATGCCAGCTTTGTCGGGTTTGATGAAATTACTTGTTCTCCGTCAAGTAACTGGCTGACTAAGACATTTAAATTTGTTTCATTTTTCCCTCAGAAACCATCAGTTTTGAAAGTCTCTTATCAGAAACCATGAACTGCCCGTGACCTGGATTAATTGTAACTTGAGCAATTCCTTTCCATCTCTGGGGTTTTTTGGAAAGGTAGTAAATCCACAGGTTCTGAGTTGAAGTCGTGTCCCAGCTGTGTGTAAACACCCTCAGACTTATATTTGCTTCTTGGCATTCAAACTATCCCTCACCATACAAACTGCAGCGTTTTGAAAATCGAACCTATTCCACAGGCTCTTATAGCAGTTACTTTATTTATAAAGCAGAACTCAAACCACCGCAAAGTAATACATAACAAGTCCAGTTAAGCATTACAGTGCAGCTGAAAGATCTGAAGCTGAAAGCTGTAAGAGACCTGGCTGGGCGGATGTCGTGGTGTGAGGTAGCCTTGGTCTTTTGGAACGCAGAAACTAGCAGCGCTGTTGCCAAGTAAGCTGTATTATCTAACTCCGAATGCCCCTGTGAGCAAGAGGGAACACGAGGGAACAGCAGCAGCAGGCGAGAGTCTCCAAAGGGGACAGATGGACCTGTTGACCTCCTCGTGTTGGGAGCTTTTCTCATATTCCTCTGAATGAGGAGCCGATGTTCTGAAAAAGACCAGAGCGCTTTCGACATGTAGCAGAAGCTTTTGAAAATGTTCTCGCAGGGCACAGTAGTGAGCAAAGCTGGAGATGACGGAACATTATCAGCAACAGTGCAAGAGTGGAAATGGAATCGGCCAACTACTTTTAAGCCTGTAGCAGGATTTGCTGTTGATTGTTGACATGGAGAAAAACTGATCACAGTCGTCTCTGAGTGTCCTCAGTTCCTGAGTCTAATTTGAGTGTTTAGCTGCTTTTGGGAGGGTTGATGCTTACTCGAGGTCACTCAAGGGTTATTCTATCTTTAGCGTACAGGCCACTTGGAGCTGGTAGTGTTTTGGACAGCTCAGGGCCAGCCAGTTACACGAAGAGGCACCTTAAAAGTGGCCAGTAAAAATGACAGTAAAATGGCTGCTGCTGGATGGTACTTCACATCCCCTCTTCTTCTAAACGCTAAATGCTTATTCTCACTAGAAATAGGGTTTTCTCCAGGTGACCTTTCCACTCCGTCTCCCAGAGGCATGCTGGGTAAATCGTTTGGCTCATCTCTTTGATCCCCGGAATGCAGATTCAAAGAGCTTTATTGGCACAACGGATTGAAATCATGTTGCCCATAAGAAGATAAGAACTAACGTTCCCATTGGCAACGCTTTCGTCAGTGCAGGAACAATTGGCAAAACCTTTTAGATTTAGAACAGGATCATTGTTATGCGAGAGGCTCGTCTCCGTCTCCCCTCTGACGGTAGATCACGTACTGAGCTGCCAGTTGAAACCCTCCTAGCAACATTGATAGCTGCTCTGCTTCTGGTTATTGATTTATTCTGTGGAAGATTTTTTGTTTACTCCTGTTCATTCCTCATGCAATAACTGTATGAAAGTACAACTGTAGTAGTTCAGGTGGGGAGCTCCGTCAGCATGCATAGGCTGCAAAGGAACACGTAACAGGTTTATTCCATGCTGAAAAGAGAAGAAAGAAAACGCAACATTTCGGCCATGGAGCCTTCTTCAGGTGTTTGTTTTCTTTCTTCTCTTTTCAGCGTGGAATAAACCTATTACTTGTTCTTGGAAGTACAACTGTCTCTGATTATTCCTGCTGTCTTCTCTGGACAGCCGGGTTTGTCTGTGTGCAGTTTCATCCAGGAGGAGAGCAGTGAAGTAAACACTCTTTAATAATCTTGGACATTTTAAGATGGTTGCTATTGATTGTGAGAACCTATTAAATAAATCACTGCTGATAGAGCTGTTCAGTGGTAAAGACAAACCTGTAAATGTCTTCGGTGGTAAACTGTAATGTCAGAGTTTCCAGGTAATAAAGGTGACAGATCTATGGCTACTAATCACAACATTTAAATGGAAGCGCTGCATGACCAAAATAGCTAATTCTGGCATGCTGGCATCTTAATTTACGATTAATTTACTAGTTCTAGAAAAGTACCTGCATGGGTATTTTCTTTTTCTATTAATGGGTCTTCCACTTTATCAGACAAAACCCCTTCCCCTGGCCCCCAAGGCCAAAATGAACCCAAATTTCTTTTCCACTCGCTGTTCGTCACATTTTTTACATATGTAAATGCCTCAGTTGAATTTGAGATCGCCCTTTTTATTGCTCAGCAGCTTTACACTGCAGTGGGGGACTTCAATTGCTCAAGGCTAACATTTAATCAGCAGGTCGCCGCTTTGTGTCGAGCGCACCTCTGCCAGAGAAGTGTTCTAATTTGGCCCTTTCTGGCCCTCTGGGATTGGGAACCTTTCAAATGTTTTTGTAGGCAAAGGAATGCTGTATGTCGGCATGATTTCATTAGCAGTCTTTCCTGTTTCTGGGATTGTACCCGTTTGCTGGCAGGATGGTGAAGTGGCCATGAGGGCTGTCGTCTTGTCCCTTCTGGGCCCCGGTATCCTGTGATGGTTTCTGTCATGAGTGTTTTATCTGTCACGTGCCATGTGCTTCCAGGATAAGCTCTGGATCACCCCAACCAGGACCCCCTCCCACAGCTCGGTTATCCTTCAACAGCTCTTGCACTTTATCACAGTAACGTTTTTTCATTATCTTCTGACTCGGAGCAGGGATCTGTTCTGAGCAGCTAGCGATGCGGAGAAGCCTGACGCTCTCTTCTGCAGATCCTCTGCAAATGTCGTCCCATGAGGCGTTAGGCTAGAGACTGGCATAGAAGCTCCAGTTGGCAGTTGAATTACACGTATCCAAAGAAGTGTTTACATCTTTGCTGATGTGAAGCCTGTCCTGCTTTGTTCTTCTGACGTGAATTGCACTGTTCGTATTGGATTTAAGGAGAGGCTGCACTACACACTTACCATTGAAGGAATAGCGTGCTGCTTACTTTTTGAAATGGCCTCTGCTCTTGCAGACTTATATGCATAAATGCGTTATGTAATGCATGCACTGCACACGCATGTTTGTCAGGGGAGCAGGAAGGCTTGCGGTGTGGTTTTGAATACTTTGGACAAGCTGGGTATATGAAAGCTCCGGGGAGAGAGAGCGTGTTGAAGCTCTGGTGCTTTCTAGCCAAAAGGAGAGAGATGTCTGTCAAAGCTGAAACATTGTTATACTGTACGTTCACTAAAATCACACAGAATTGCATGCAGCTGCTAATTTAAAATTGAATGTCTGTTTTTTTTCTCCCTCAATCCAGTAAAGTAATCTTCACAAGTTGAAGGTTTTTGCTATCCCAGGGTGAATTAAAAAAAAAAAGTTCATACTTACCCAAGGCTGTAGTGGTATTTTCTTTGAAAGTGCAGCACTGCTGTTTTGCTGAACATGTTTAATGAGGACACCTAGTGTGTGTGTAATACACGTACAAAACCCCCAGCAGGAGACTTCTGTGCTTGCCATTTCAACCTCCACAACTCTTGCTTTTTGTGAACTGAAAGCAGCATTTGTAGTTGAGATCACCCTGTTCATGGCTTCCTTTAAGTTTGTCCACTTAGCCTTTGCTTTTGTTTTTGACGTGTAGATGACCTGTGCCTTATTTAACCAATTTACACCTGCTTATATGTGGTCTCTCTCTCCCTCCCTCAGGTAAAGTCTGTAAAAACTGGATCAGTTTTCTGGACGATAGGCTGCTGTCTCTCCTACTTTTACATGGTAGGTTTTCAACACCTTTGGTATGATCCATTGCTTTTCTTGTGAAATCATAATGTGTAACTATTAACAAATCAAGATTTGATCATTGCATCAGAAGAATTGCGCATCTACTTCATTTAGTTTGATTTCTCTTTATTGTAAAATGTTGATTTTCGTCTGTTTGAGCAATTGACAAGACCTTGAGGTGAAGAGGCCCCTTGGTTTCTTATAAGTAGTCAATGTGATAT